GGCTGTTTTTCCTTTTTTTCAATGGGAAAAAAATACCATACAGAAGCAATATGAAATAATAAACAAAGAAAAAAAAGCTCGCAGAGGAAAAGTTCTTGGCTCAAACTGAATCTATCTTTGTCAGATAGAAATACTTCCTCTGTATGAAATTGCAAAGTAGACACATTTCACAGTTTCCATACCGTAGAATCTATTTGCATGTTGTGATGTACAAACTCATTTCCAAAGTAATGCTTGTAAAACTTGCCTGTAAGGGAGCAGTGACAGTCTTCCCTGATTCCATGCATTTCCTCAAAAAATACTAAAAGTAGCAGCAATTAAATTAAATTAAAATGCATCACAATCATCCAGCTATATAGACTGTTTTCAAGTTATGGAAGTAGAAAGAATAACTGCCCAGATGTAAGTAGCCTTCAATTTTATAAACATGGTTATGTTGGCTGTATTGTGACAAAACAAAGAGAAGTTGATCTGGGCCTCAATGAAAAGCAGCCAAATATTTGTCATCAGAGAAGGATAGGACTCTAAACAGCCTACCAAGCCTTTCTTCTGCTGTTTCTAAAAAACCCCTCAGCTGGACATGAGTGTAGGAACAAAAAGGCATCCATTTGTCACACAACTTGCAAACCTCTGTCATGCCCATCTAGCTGCACTTTCAGTTTGTGGAGCTCTTCAATCTCTCGGTTGTGGCGTTCTGTTTTGTGGCGGACAAGTGACCGGTAGAAATGGATTGTGAAGACAACAAAGATGATCCCCACAGGAACCATAATTATAGTAGAGATGAGGGCTGCATGCCAGCCTGTATGCTGGCTGGTCTTCTGGATAACAGTACTATCATTTCTCATCATGGAGTCCACTGGCAGAAATTTGATCCAGCATAGGAGGACAACCTCAGCAAGAAAGAGAAGGATGCCCAAAACAGTGGAAAAACCCCATGCCAACTCTATATATGGATGCATACGTTCATGGGGAGATTCACTGATGGAGTTCAGGTTGTGGATGTTACTCACTGCTTCCACATTAGGCAAGATGCAAGTGCTGATAAGTAGAGCAAAGAGATGGACAGCAACTAAAATGGTGGTACAAGCACTAAAGGCAATCAGCAGCATTGGGGGATACTGGTACTGCATCTCAAGCTGGACTTCAACCATTGCCACCTGCAAAACAACATATTAAGAGGTGACTATTTGCTTGACCTGAAAGACCAGGTTAAGGGCAGATCATCATGGAGAAAGCATATCTTACATAGTTGCTAAAAGTCAACACCAATTTAATGGCACATAACCAATCAATCAGTTTGAATGGATTTAGGCTGGAGCTCCATTGGAGAAACCAATTACATAAGCATGTTGCCAAGGTAGAAGGG